ACTCATGCTCAAGGACAGTAATATTTTTTAGATGAAGAACAACTGCGTTACTAAGAAAGACAACGTTGTTACCGTAATTTGTTAATAAATAATATAAAATTTTATTTTATCTTATTTTTTTAAGTATGGAACTACCAGCCAAGACCAACCACAAACAAGCCGAAACCCTCGTCTATATCAAACTAAATCTCGATCCAAACGTTGAAACATCAGACGAGGCATCAACGACTAAGCACAAAAGTACAAACCGTAAAAGTACTTGAGGAAGATGCCATTACAAAAAAAGAGACTGACGAAAAGTATTTGCGCTAAATGCAAAGTAGCGGTTTGCGGGGAGCATTAGGTCGATTTGTGCACCACTTGGGCCATAGAAACCTAGTTAAATCTACTTTATAAATACTTATTAATTTTTTTTAAAATATTACGTGTACTAAATATGAAACTTGCATTTTTTTGCATGTTTATAGTACCCATATGAAGAAAATTGATCTCATATTTTTATGTAGCACCATAAATAAAAATCTAAAACATGGTTTAATTCTAAAACCCTTTCATTTTTAAATACTATTTACCTCATAAACATACGAAAGGTGAAAAAACCCATTTCCCGTCGTTTCGACGGATGGTTATCTTTAAAGGGGTATATTTAAGTTAATAAAAAAACGGCATTTCGTAGGTAAATATATACTGGATGACCTTTTTTTTTTACTGTTTGGAAATAATAGGGTGTAACATGTAAACGGAGTAGGAGTCCATGGCACTAATATTTTACAAAAAACAAAAACAAAAATTTTGAATTAAGAGCCCTCTTACATTTCGGCGTTACACAAATTTAGGTATTTTACGTACCGAGCGGGCGGCGAACTACACAAGCGATACTTTCTTTCATGTCTATTCACTCGCTCGCACTATGATACTGTGAGTATAGCGACTAAACGATCTTGATCTTCCATAATACAAGCTTTCTTAGGATGGAGTTCAGTGGATGGAAAATTTTTGGTGTTTCATTTTTATGTTATCTAATTAATTAATTATAATCTATTTTGATACATTTTTCATTATTTATGAACCATAGCGCTCATACGCACTAGGGGTTAACCGGACCGGCCCGCTTCGCGGCTGGCCGCTATTTTGTTTATACGCACTGGCGGTTTAGCTTGCGGCGAGCCGCCGATGTGTTTGTATGCGTTCGAGTTTGAGGTGCGCAGCCAAAAACTTGGACACAGTAAAATTCATTGTTGAAATTCAACAATGAGAAGCTATTCGGAATTTTGAAGTAGCATCTTATAAGAATAGAGATTTAAAACGAAAACAATGTAATGGATGGATACAACATCTTTTTTTACTTTTTTTCTTTTGTTGTTTTCGGGAGTAAAAATAGATAACACAAGCTACCTCGACGGAATTAATTTCGTTTATGGCCCAACATGCTTATTGAGCGATATAACCGCTTATTGCAGTTTCACCGCGGTTGGCTGTCATAGCGGTCAGCCGCTATTCCAACCGCATCAGGCGGCTGGCCGCTCATACGAACCGTCCAGATGGCCAACCGCTAGTGCGTGCTTTACCATAGTATCGAAATCAACTGACGCAGGTCCAACCGCGACAAGCGCTCGCGCTATAATGATCTCAGATGGTTTTATTTTTAAATAATAAAAACAGGGCTATCCTATATGTAGGGAGGCGGAAAATGCATTACGCATACGACGATAGCCGGTCTATCGTGGTTGTGAGGGACTCACTGCCTACCGGGGGAACCTAATTGTTACCCTCTAAAAACCGCCTTTGGGGACTAGCAACTGGCTGTTTAAGCTTTCTTATGCCGTATCGCGAGCGAGTACCCTCTTTTGGGAAAAGAGGGCGCAGAAGAGTGACTGCCTCGTTGGCGACTGCCTCGTTGGCGACTGCCTCGTTGGTTTAGTGGTTGTAATAGTGCGGCTGCTGATCATGAGGTCCTGGGTTCGAATCCCGAGTCGAGCCAAAAAAAATCTCAGATGGCCGATGCAATGAAATATATAGTAGGTACTTTTATTTTTATTTATTATTAATTAAAAATAATAGTAATGATTTAAAAAGTAAAAATTATAGTACAGTTTAAGCAAATGTTGATGATTATTTTGGTTTAAATTTTTCGTCCAAATAATGTAGAACTTCGGAGATATTGGGGCATGTATCGAAGTTTTTTCGGTCGTTAATTGAATTGTCGATTTTTTTCCTTACGTGAAAGGCATATAAAGAAAATGCATTCTATCATTATTAAAGTATAGGATATTTGTGGGATATAATTTTTTTTGATGGTCGATATACAATAGAATCTACAAATTAGAGCTCCTAAGTCATGTCTCTGAGAGTTTTGACCTAAATGTGCATCGGGACAATGACTATTACTAAATAAATAAAAAAGTTATTTAAAATTTGCTCTGAGCTTATTGTAGTATAGAAAAGGAACTATTTTTATCAAGTAATTATATTTTATCAAGTAGGTAATTGGTATTTGCTTGAAGCAAAGAACGAAAAACATACAATTTTAACGAGGAAATCTTGTAATTTCGTGTTTTTTTATAATACTCCTCTTAAATAAATAAATAATTTAAAATCTATGACAATTTAAATCATATCCACCCTACTTTACGAACGGCAATAAAACAATATTTAGTAGGCATCTTTGACCTTGTCACTTGGCAGGGGCAAAGTAATTGTTGAAAAAAATTCAATGTTAAATTCAAAATGTTTTTATTTTTTGTAAAATATCATTGCCATATGTTTCTACTCCGTTCACATGTTACACCCCATTTTTTCAGACGGTAAAAAAGGTCATCCAGAGATGTCATTACCACTATTATGACGATTCTGACGGCACATCATAGTTACTTATGTTAAAATCCATCAAGTCGTTTTGGATACAGAGCGTGCTAAAGAAATAGACATTAATACACACTTGAAAAATATGACCCTTCTGGGGTAAAATTGCCACATTATGTCGTAATTTGGTGTAACAATAAAAGTAAAAACATAAATAAACAATATTTTTGCGCATCATAATCACAAGTAAGTTATGAGCAATCTTTGAGCTTTCTAAAAATGCGAAAATTGGAACAAAAAACTTTATCCGGGCGAGTCATTAGTGAATGCGATAGTGAGGTGTCTCGTTGGTTAGCTTTATGTATAATGCGTGTTAGTATTTTTGAATTGACATAGTTTGTGTCGAATGCCAGGTAATACGAGGGTGGATTGAAAAGTACTCGGCCTAACCAAGAAAATAAACACATACTAAATCAGTTATATTTTTATTTTTCTACATAATCACCATCAAGTTCAATACACTTTTGCCACCTCCCCTTCCAAGCATTTAGACCGTTGAAAAAAAATGATTCTTCCTTAGAGTCAAAATATGCGTCTACAGCTGCTTTGACCTCGTCGTTTGTCGAAAATCTTTTACCTCCCAAGTGCTTTTTTAGGTTAGGGAACAGAAAGAAGTCTGATGGTGCCAGATCAGGTGAATATGGCGGATGCGGTAACAGTTCAAAGCCACAGTTGTGAATTTCAGCCATTGACTGTACTGACGTGTGAACACGGGCGTTATCTTGATGAAACAGGACTTTTCTTCTGAGCATTCCTCGACGTTTTTCTTTTATTTCCTCTCGTAAACGACGTAGTAAGGTGCAGTAGTAATCAGAGTTTATAGTCTGACCCCTTTCAAGATAATCTATCATAATCACACCTTTCGAGTCCCAGAATACTGAAGCCATCACCTTATTTGCCGACAAAATCGACTTAGCCTTTTTAGGGGGTGGTTAACCAGGTCTTCTCCACTGTTTTGATTGTTGTTTTGTTTCCGGTGTACAGTAATGAACCCATGTTTCGTCCGTAGTAACAAAACGATTCAAAAAATCATCTGCATCGGCTTCAAATAACTCCAAACAGTCGCGTGAAATAGTCAATCGCGTCCTTTTTTGTTCAACTGAAAGCAGTCGCGGAACCCACCTCGCAGACACCTTGTGGAAACCCAACTCGTTGACAATGATATTTTGAGTTCGTTCATAAGAGATGCCTACAATCTCGGCTATCTCTCTAATTTTTAATCTGCGGTCTCCCATTATTAAATCAAGTACTTTTTTAATATTTTCGTCAGTAGTTGACGTCGAAGGCCTTCCAGAGCGGGGTTCATCTTTCACACTCTCTCTACCACGCTTAAATTCTGGTATCCATTTTTTGACGGATGAATATGACAGAGCACAATCGCCTAATGTACTGACCATGTCATCATGGATGGCTTTTGATGATAGCCCCTTCTTATGGAGGTACTTAATGACGGCACGCTGCTCGATTTGCTCCATTCGCGGAAATTATGTCCGATTACTTTGTTAATAAATTTATAAAATCACAACTAATTATCGCACACGTTTCGAACTTCACACAATGAACTAGTCTGAACTGAACTAAATAATGTGGGTAGATTTGATTTTTAGAATTGAATGGATCTGTGTTAGGCCGAGTACTTTTCAATCCACCCTCGTATAAATGAAAATTCGGTAAATAATAATGGATGATAAAATATTAAATACAAAATTTCAAGAAATCATTAGAGACGTTTCCAAGAAACTCAAGAATTGCTCTTTTAAAAAATTTAGTCTAATATTCATACATTGACATATATAAGGTACTTGTGGATACCGTAATTGAGGTTTTTTAAATTATACTGTAATTGTTTACTTTAATTTATTCGTTTTAATAATCATGATCAGACTAATATCAAATGTAAAATTACTTATATCTATTCAAAAATTAAAATATCCGATTTCTGCTCTTTAAAAAACACCGGTAAAAATATCGACTTTCACCACATTTGTCTGTAGTAGCACATAAGCGTGCAGATTACTTTTCTACGGATTTATTTTAGGTACTTAGATTACTTATGAAAAAAGTAGGTGTTTTGGCACTGTCCCTACTGTATAAACACTTACCTCTGTCATATTATTAAATAATTTCAAAATTTTCAGGTTACTATTAAATGGGTAGAAGGCATTCAAACAAAACTGCCAATGTGTATTAGTGGTGGGATTTGGGGAGCAGCGAGGCTTAAACCAAAGCATCGTCAATTATACCTGAAGTACTATTTACCATGGGCTATTATGACTGGAAATAATGCAAAATATTTACAAGGTATAAAAACACATTTTTATTGTAACATTTTGTGTGTATCAGTATAGTTACATGTGTAATGAGCTCAATGTATTAGGTCTTAATACTATAACTGTCTTATTTTGATCTATAAGTTGTTTGGTTACGTACACTGCGCTGGTCTAGTGGTCTTAAGCGCGACTGCTGATCATGTGGTTCGGGTTCGATTCCTAGGTGGGGCTAAAATCAGTTCTCAGTAGCAGTTTGAAGTCAGAACGCTAATAGTATTTCACTCCCGTGCCCTGCAATCACATAAAGCCACGTTTCCGTCTCATCAGACTATAAAGTGGGGGAATAGAGAGTGCACCTGCGTTTACGCACACAAACGTGCATTATAACTATAATCCTGCCCTGTGCTAATGGAAGCTAATAGCTAATCCGAGTTGAGAATGCCCTGGCTGCCGTGACCGAAATTAGGTCTGAAGAATGTTAGTAGTTATTGTGTTGTATCTATCTTGTCTTTCAAATTAAAGCTGACACTTCTTTAAGTCTAATAAAAGTAGGCTTTCTAAACGCTTGGTATATTGGCTTGACTTCTTACATAAGTTTTACATTGAACGTAGAATAAGTAAAGAAAAATATTTTCCTTCTTTTTATTAAATTTATTACATTTTTATTTCTTTTATTATTTACAGGAATTTATTTTGAAAAACGTTGGGACCAAGATATAGATGATTTTCATAAAGAAATGAACATTGTAAGGTTACATAAAAAATGATGGTATGGTATTATTTAGGAGTGGGGTTGATAGTCATAAAATAAAATTTGGTCACACATGCCTATTTATTTTTTATTATCGTTTTCAAATTAAACTCGTAGGTTTAAGAATAAGTGTTAGAGCGTAACATGCTCTTATCTTTTTATTTTTATTATATTTTCTATTTTTCGTTCGTATCACGCATTTTCGATAGCGAAGCTAATAAAAGCGTGTTAAAAAGGATTTGGGAAGGAGTTCCACAAACGTACAGCTGTAACCGAAAATAATCCATTGAAAAGAGGATGAATGTACGGGGGTACGAAAAGGCAAATTGTTAGAGTTGTTTTTATTATTCGAAAAGCCTTAGTAACTTAAAATCTGCGGTCATTATCATTCAGAAATATGAGTTTACATGCGATAGTTTTAGTTTTCCGTATTATGCGATCTCATAATAAGCGTAGGTCATGCCATCTGGACGTAGTCTTGTGTAGTTCGCGAACGATGGACGAATAGGAAACGTATCTTACCGTGAGTTTGCACTTACACGGTTTTCACAAAAAACATGTTTTAAACGCTGTTTTCTGTCAATGTATCAAAAAGCATAGTTGCATAGTCAAAGAACATGTTGTGAAATATGTTCGATAGTTTATTGTACATCACATATTTTAACTATATTATATCTTTATAACTACAGAAAAAAATGTTTGAAAACAAATTTGTAGAAATATTGTCATGTTGAAGGATAAGTTTGAATATCTGTTGAAAATTTTACACAGTTTATGTGAGTACGAACGCCATTATCAACAAAACATATTTTGTGATTTATTTTATGCGATTTGTTTCAAAACATTACGTGTTGGATGGTTCTCAGTGCAAACGGTCTGTTAGCACTGTACTATAGTTCGTGCCAAATCGATTGAGAAAAACGGACATTGACCTTTCGGTCGTTCAACCAGGGGCTACAAACCTTCAATATATAGGCACTTTTTATATGTAGTACTTTATTTATTTATAATGATTTTTTTATTATTTTTTATAATGATTGATATAATATATATTTATTAACTGATATTAAAATGTTATGTAAAAGATCGCTGTAGAAGAAAAATCATCTATTGTTATAAAGTACTTTATTCATATAACAACAAAAAGCATTCATTTATAACACATATAATGATTCGAGTGATAACGACACCGAATAAGTACGTACTTATTCAAAAGATAAAACTTTATTTTCAATATTATATAAGAACTTTATTTTTATTCGGTGCATGCGGGCTGGCCCAAAAAAAGTGACGCATCTCTGGCTGCCATTGTCACGTTTCTTTTAGAACGAACTGATGTAACGCGTGTTTTGTTTATTTTAAAAGGATGAATTTGCAAAAGCTCAATATGGTGATTATATTGCTTCAAATTTTTTTTAATATGAAACTGTTATTAAATGAATTGCTGCGTTACTTACCATAAATTGAAATATAAAATATAACACATTTTTCGCGATGTACCGTAACATTTTACGATGTTTATAGGAACCACAAACGTATTATTTAAGAAACAAAAAAAAACACATGTGCTGACCTAGAAGTGTGAATAATATCAATATTTAAATATTGTTATCACATCCAAATTGAGATTTTGTAAGTTACGCCTTTTGACACTCAGCTCATATCTGAGATCATCGTCCGTTTTTCTCAATCGATTTGGTATGAATAATAGAAGAAACGTTTGCGATCGCTGATTGTTAATCGGTCTAATAGCTATTTTCGTACACCTACGAGAGAATCGGTTTGACGTTAGTTATCAATGTAATAACTTGCTGGATCAAAAACTCAGCCATTCTTGTTAGAGAGAAAGACGACAGTCCAGCACTGGTCATCCGAGGAGAAGACGACCTCAAAAAACTTCGAATCACTAAAAAGAAGTGACTGTACTGTGTCTAGTCGTAATTATATTTATAACGTTTTATTACCTTTTTTGTATTTGATTGATTTACTCATCTTCATTGACTGCAGTTTTTTCAATGCTAGCTTAAAAGAACAAATGAGCGACTTACCCGTCTGTCTGAGCAATCGGGAATATTTCTCACTACTTTTCGATTTTAAAATTATAACACAAATCTTATTCTCATCAGATACTAACCATTACAATCTGGCTTTCTACTGTACATTAAGGCACAAATTTATGCTAAAAATAGCTCTTTTTTTAAAATGAATTAAACGACTCAACCAAATCATCTTAGTATTTATTATCAAAATTGTAGAGGTATAAGGACCAAATTAAACACACTTTACATGAATATCTTATCTAATAATTATGATGTTATTGTACTCACTGAGACCTGGCTGCTTCCGGACATTGGCAACGGCGAATTTATAGATCAGAGGTACGTGGTTTACAGATGTGACAGAGACCGCTTAGCTACCAACAAACAGGATGGTGGTGGTGTTCTGGTGGCGGTGCTGCGTGGAATGAAACCTGCTATATTTAACACCTCGAACCCGGATAAATCTCTGCACTCTAAGCATCTTGAATGAATGACTACGTACAATTTTCCCAATACAGAAATACATTTAAGATCCAATGCAAACAATGCTATAGGTATATGGATACTGTATAAGAAAATATAATTTAAATATAAAACACTTTTGGACCTATGTATCGAGTCGCAAAACTGAGACTAAAATTCCGTCCACTTTGTTTTACCATAACCTTAAATCCAGCGACCCCGAGACGATATGTAATATGTTCTCTGATTTCTTTCAATCAGTGTTTGAGCCTTCTCACCCTTCTCTTTCGCATTGGCAGCGTCTATCTTGTACCTCAAGTCACGATATTTTAATTTCTAATATTTTCTTTACTGAAACTGAAATTCTAAATGAACTCAAAAATTTAGAGACTTTCAAGGGTCCTGGTCCAGATGGCTTTCCTCCACTCTTTTTCAAACAAACTGCTGAAAATATATATAAGCCTTTGCACATTATCTATAATAAGTGTTTGTCAGAGGGTGTTTTTCCTAGGAGGTGGAAACATGCAAATATAACTCCAGTTCATAAAAGTGGGTCGTGTTGAATATTATCGCCCCATCTCTATTCTCTCCGTCTTGTCGAAGGACCTCGAAAAATTACTCCACAACCAAATTTACCCGATTCTACACAGGACTATTATTGAAGAACAACATGATTTCGTTAAACATAGATCTACTACTAGTAATATACTTACCTTTACGAATAATTTATTTGCAAAAGTTGATGACAGCTTTCAAGTAGATGCTGTATATACAGATTTTAAGAAAGCTTTCGACAAGGTGGATCATGAGATTCTTCTTAACAATATTGCATTCAACGGTATTCGTGGTAATTTGCTGCGCTGGTTTGCATCTTATATTCAAAATCGTTCCCAAAAAGTTGTAGTAAATGGATATCAGTCAAGGGACGTTTTGGTCACATCGGGCGTTCCTCAAGGATCCATTCTTGGACCATTGTTATTTATTATTTTTGTTAATGATATAGACAAATGTTTTCTTAACTCCAATTTCCTATTATACGCCGACGACCTGAAAGCCTACAAAACTTAAAAATATAGAATACTGTATATCTTTCCAAAGCGACCTTGACAGATTGACAACATATTGCAACATCAATAAATTACAATTGAGCATTCCAAAATGTCACTATATAAACTTTACAAAAATGAAAAATATTGTCCATTTTAATTACATCCTCTGTAAAAAGACCTTGGCCAAAGTGACAGACGTAAGGGATTTGGGGATTCAGTTGGACTCTAAGCTACAACTAAGCCTCGATATTGATAAAATAGTCAAACAAGCTTTTAAAATATACGGATTTGTTATGAGATCTTCTACTGACTTCAAACAGACAACCACATACTTCTCTATAAAAACCCTTGTTCGTTCCCAGCTTGAATATGCTGTACCTATATGGAATCCCTACTATAAAGTATACAAAGCTATTGAGAAAGTTCAAAATAAGTTTTGCGTGCCATCTTGCGTTGCATCTATAGTACACTATAGATGCCATATCTATCATTGTCTCGTATCCCATTGCTGAGAGAGTTTGGTGTTTTGTCGCTTGAATGTAGACGTAAATATCTTGAAGCTATAACATTGTATAAAATAGTAAACAACAAATTTAGCAGTACTGTTCCAATTTAAATTTCGTAGTTCCGGCTTAATAAAAACTACTAAATGCTGGCTTACGCGCTCCAGTTCGCCGTATGATGTGCATTGCTTTAACGAGTTTTTGAATGATGGTAACATGGATTTGTTACACTGTTTATATTGCTTTTAAGAGATCTCTATTTAAAAAACTAAAAATGTAAAAATAATATTATTTTGGCTCTTTGTTTTTAGTTATTAAGTTTTTATTCAGCGTCCGCGAAAATTTAATTAACATTGTAAGTAATATGTGAATAGCGTTGTGGGCTACATTATTGTGAATACATCATGTTATTGCATTTTAGATATTACTGTATTTTGTAGCTGTTTGCTGTTCCTTAGTAAATAAAATAAAAAAATATAAATAAAAAATAACGTCTATTTTAGCTTATCATCCAAAGGATGCAAGAATCGTTTTGTTCGCAAATTATTGTACTTATTATAATTAATTAATGGATACCAACAAACATATTTGATAGACTTCGTTTCGGCACTTTCGATCGCGTAAAAATTTAATGAAGTTGAAGTTATGTTATAATTATAACAACTATTGAGCAGTGGCGTAGTGTGGATTTTCGCCGCCCGGGGCCGTACGGAAATTCGATTTTTATTTAATTCGAAATTTGGAACGATATCTTATCGCGCGTTGCAAAAGGAGGCTAGACGGAAAAAATTAAGACCAAAAGTTGTAACGACACTTTTTGCTATAGTTGTAAGCCATGCGGCGTGCGCGTGTTTCTCTGTCTGTCTCTCTCTCTCTCTCTCTTAGAAAGCAAGCCAGTTATTTTCGTTTCGTCTTTCTATTTCACATTGAACAGTGTGGTGTCGCGACGATTATTTTTGTTGA